TTTTTTGTTGGAATTAATAATATATTTGTAATTAAGAATGATTTGGAAATTTATTCAATTAAATGAATACGTTTATTTCTGCTTAATTTTTTATTAATTTATAGTTATTTTTTCTCAAGAAATCTCACGTAAAGTAAACCTGTTTTATATGATGAAAACTATAGAATTATATCATTTTTAAATCATGAATTTTAGTGATAATTAATAATAAATTAAGAAAATTAATGACTTATGTCAAATTGTTAATGTATGAATGAATTTGTTAATTCGTGTTTCACAATTATTCAATTAGTTGATTATTAGATGTTTTTCACAATGTAAAAATAAATGATTTTAAAGTTTCCTAAAAAATGGGACGAATTTATGTTAAAATGTAATTATATAGAAATTAATTTAAATTACAAAAAAATTACTCTGTGAAATAGTTTGATGGAAATTTCGTTTAATATATTTCAGGTGGGAAATAATGTCGCTCAACGTAGATTGATATTATCATCATCTCATGCGGTAAATTGCGAAAAGGGGGCGAGAAAATGACGAAGGAAACAAAATACAAAAAAAAAATGTATATAGAGAGAGAGAGAGAATGTGTGGAATGCAGATCGATGAGAGCTTACCTCTCTGGTCATGACGATGAGCGTTATGTTCGGTGCGTGAGACTCGTAGAAGGCGTTGGGATCGGTGATGTTGATGCCACCGCTCGGTGTCCATTGACCCACCTTCCTGATCTCCTCCTTCTTCAGCTTCAGCAGATCCAGCGTGAAATTCGAACGTTTTCCCTCGCTGAAATCGATGTTTCCTGTGAGCCCCTGCAATCCACTCTGCAACAACAACAACAACAACAAAAAATAATAATACTGACGTGAAATATGTATATTAATTATTTTTTTATGCTTCTCCATTTTTTCTTGTAAGTGGAAGGAATAATTTATTTTACCTAAGAGATATAATACGAAACCACCGCAAATGCTGTTATTATTATAGCTTTTTTTCGCTGTCTCCGGAAATCCTTTAATATCCTTAATGGTAATTGGCGAAAATGCTTAATACATTTCTTGCGAGGATTTTCGCGTAACGCTAATTGCCAATTACCAGTGAACAGAGAAGTAAAATTCGACGATGAAGTGTGTACATTAATTACAGTTCACAATAACTCAAATTCGCCGAAAAACGTACAGCAAATACACGTTGCGTTTGATAATTGAAAATTGATTTCGTTTTGCGGAGCGTAAAAGTAAAGTTTTCTGCTGGAGAAACTTGATACATGGCATCATTATTTTTCTCTGGACTAACGAGGCAACGGAATAGTTTTCGGAGAGAGAAAGAGAGAAAAAAGTGAAGACAAATATATATTTGTACAATAAAAAAGAGGAAAAAATAGGATTCAATTTCGAGTAATGAAGCGATTTGCAAAGCCTCGAAAATTTCATTTCGGTGAACCTAATAAACTTGAGTCTCTAAACGCCATTTTCTTGAGCGAGTTCCGACCGCCAACTATGTATGAAGTGATGCAGAAGAAGGTAAGGAAAATGATGAAAAAAAAAACAAGACGAAGTGTACACAGACACACTCAGACAACATCATGAAATCCTCGGAGGAGGTGACGAGAGTTACGAACTCGACTCTGTTGGTTTCTTTTTTTTTATATATTTCTCTGAGGTGCAAAAGTTTGTGACTCGGGGTGAAACAAAAAAAAAATATGTATAGAAGGATCGACGAGAGAAAACAATGAGGGGGAAAGAAAGTATGCACGAATGGGCACGAAGTAGAAGAAAGAAAGATAGAGACTTATGAAGTTTGGCTAAATCCGGCGCATTCAATAAAAGCGCCCCCGAGAATGTATACACAATAAATAATTTTATCAAAAGTTCTTTTGCGTGAAAGAATGGACATCGTGGAAAAAAAAGAAGAGTAGAAAATGAGTGAATATAATAGGAATATTTTAGTATTATACAAAGCGGTTTTGGTTTAAAAAAAAAAACCAGAAATTTCAAATTTTAAAATTGAATTCAATTTAATTTAATATAATGTGAGTTCATACTAAAATACATAAATAAGGGAAGACATTTTTCATTGTTTTCCGCAAAAAGTGGGAAATTTAAATTTAAAAATGAATTAAATAAGGATTTACACTACTGTATTTAAGTAATTGTATAATGTGAGTTCGTTCATAGTAAAACACAAAAATAAGGGAAATTTAATAACGATTCACAAGTATAGTAGAAATCTGTAATCGTTTTCCTAAAAAAGCGCGAAAATCAAATTTAAAAAAAACTGTATTTAAGTAATTGTAAAATTTGAGTTAGTTCATATTAAAGTACATAAAAAATTGAATACGGGAAATTTAAATTTAAAATAAATGAATTGAATCTGAACTTACCACTGTATTTAAGTAATTGTATAATATGAGTTTGTTCATAGTAAAACACAAAAATAAGGGAAATTTAATTCGAATTTAATAACGATTCACAAGTATAGTAGAAATCTGTAATCGTTTTCCAAAAAAAGCGCGAAAAACAAATTAAAAAAAAACTGTATTTAAGTAATTGTAAAATTTGAGTTAGTTAATATTAAAGTACATAAATAAGGAAAATTGAATACGGGAAATTCAAATTTAAAAGAAATGAATTGAATCTGAACTTA